CGCGACTTCCTGCAGCTCGACGCGGCTTTGGACTTGGACCTGCAGCGGCAGCAGCAGCAGCAGCAGCAGCAGCCGCTGCTGCTGCCGCAGCAGGAGCAGCAGGAGGACCTGCTGCAGCAGGGGCCTGCTGCGTCTCTGGAGCTGCTGGGCCGCAGCGGCCTGAGCGTGCCCTTCCGCGGGGGCAGCAGCAGCAGCAGCAGCAGCGCCCCCGCCTCCGCCGCCGCCGCTGCTGCTGCTGCTGCTGCTGCTGCTGCTGCTGCTGCTGCGCCGCCGCGGCGCGGCGGCCGCCGCAGGGGGGGCCCCACGGGGCCCCGCGAGGGCCGCAGCGACTCCAAAGTGCTGCTGCAGTACTACATGGGCTTGGTGCGAGATTGCTGCCGCCGGCGAGATGGAGCAGCAGCACTTCGAGTTTTGGCAACAGTTCAAAAAGAAGGAAAAGTCTTTCCCGACATTCAACTCCTCAACTACGTCTTGTTTGCCTGCGTCGCCAGCGGCGAGCAGCAGCTCGCCAGTCAGTCCTGCTGCTGCTGCTGCTGCTGCTGCTGCTGCGGTTTCAGGTTGCTGCTGCTGCTGCTGCGCTTTTTGTTGCTGTGCTCGTGGTGCTGCTGCAGGGTCGGTTGCTGTGCTGCTGCTGCTGCTGCGTGTTTTCGCTGAAGTGCGGTTGCGCCGCTGCTGCTGCTGCTGCAGTTTGAAGTCTGCGGGCTGCAGCAGCAGAACTTGCGGGTGTCGAGCAGCTGCTGCCGGGCTGCTGCTGCTGCTGCTGCTGCGCTGCAGAGAGGCTCTTCAGCCGCATCGAAGAGGCCGGAGTCGCGGACTTGGTGACTTACAACACCATGCTGAAGGCCTATTCGTCTCGAGGCGAATTAGCTGCTGCTGAGGCGCTGCTGGAGAAGATCCGCAGAAGCAACATCGAGCCCGACGGCGTGTCTTACAACTTGCTGGTGAATGCTGCAGTCAGCTGCGGCAGGGTGGACAGGGCGTGGTTCTACGTGGAGGAAATCCAGAACCACCACATGGCGGTGAGCAGCAGCAGCAGCAGCAGCAGCAGCAGCAGCTGCTGCTGCTGCTGCAGCAGCAGGCACGGATCCTCGCGCCGCTTCGCTTGAAAACGAGAAAATTTCCCCTCTTCCGCACGTGCAGCAGCAGACCCGCTCGCGGGGAACCGGATCGGCCTGCTGCAGTTCCTGCGCTGCTGCTCGCTGCTTGCTGCATTTCTCTCGATCTTTTCTTCTGCTGCTCCTTGTGCTTATTTGCATGCATCTGCATATTTTCAATTGAAATTTTAATTGCAATTGAGTCCTCTTGGAGCTGCCTAGCGCTGGCTTCCGCTGGGTTTCCGTGCCACCGCAGCCATTCAGTTTCCTGTGCGCAGTCTGGGCTTTGGTGATCCCGTCTACTTCTGCTTCTTTCCAATTGAAAGTTCCCTTTTTCCAATCAAAAGTGAATTATATTTCCCTTTTTGCAATGCTGCAGCCGGATAAATTCACCGTCAGCGCCCTGGTGAAGAGCCTGCAGCCTGGCCAAGATCCGAAACTGATTCGCCGCACTCTACAGCTCATGGATACAGTGGGTGGCGGCACTTCTCGACTTCGCGAAACTCACTTAATTCTTCAAATATACTTCTCACTTTCAATTAATAAAGTGTTCATTCAAGTTGTTTTGCTTTTTCCACTTCTTTCCGCTTTGGATCGTTTGAGATGGGCGGGTTTCTGCGCCCGTTCAGCCTTTTCGTGAATTTCTTGAATTTCTTGAATTCGCCGCGCCATCCGAGTTTTTTAGCCGTTTTCTCTCGGAAATAACTCGCAAAAGTCGTTTTGAGTTCATTTTAGAGTCGAAAAAGGGGCAAATTCGCGCGAAGTGGCTGCTTTCTGGCTGTCAGGCGAACGCGTGCGAAGACCTGATTTTGCTGTCGACTTGCATCGACGCGACGCTGCGGCTCAACGACACCGAGCGGCTGCGGCGGCTGCTGCAGCGCTTCGAAAGGTCGCCGCTGACGCTCAACGCCCACGCCTACGGCACGCTGATCAAGGCTTACGGCCGGCTGGGCCACGTCGACAAGGTGCGCCGCTGCTGCTGCTCTTTGCTGCTGCGCTGCTGCTCTTTGCTGCTGCGCTGCTGCTCTTTGCTGCTGCTCTGCTGCTGTTCTGCTGCGGCGCTGAGCCTTGCAGCCAGCGCCGCGGGCTCCTGTACTTCTTTTCCTGGTTAGCGGCTTTCTGCTGCTGCTGCTGCTGCGGCCGCGCTGCTGCTTCTTCGCCCGCGTTTTTCTTCTCTTGTTTGCTTCCTTGTTCCCGCAGCTTCTGTCTTTTGTCTTTTTGTTTTGCTGCTGTGGCTGTCTTAGTCGGGGTTGATGTGTCTTTACTTTCTTTCCTCCTGGTTTCACTCCAAAGCTTTTCCGAATTTGAATTTGCACATCAGCACTTGTGCACTCCAGTGCTTGTTTCGCGTCTTACTGCTTGTTTATATCCTTCTTTTTTGTTCTTTATTGTTTTAATGACTTTATTTTTGGATTTTATTTATTTGAAACTGTTCAGGTTTGGGACTTGTGGAGAGACCTGCATAGCAGGAAGAGCATCGAACCGACGAACTACACTTACGGATGCATGCTGGAAACGCTGCTGGTGAGGCTTTCGAAGTTTAAAGGCAGTTTTATTGAATTAGAAAACATTAATTTGCTAGTTTGGTTTTATTTTAATTCCAAATATTAATTTTCAGTCATAGTTTCCCCTCTGCACGCGCCCGCAGCAGCGCCTCGTCGGCAGTAGCGTGGCAGCACACTCTTGATCTTTTGTCTGAACTTGAATTTAATTTGAATTTGAGTTCAAATTGAATTTAAATCAAGTGCAGTTCAAGTTTGTTTTATCCGTTTGAACTTGAATCTGAATTTGAATTTGAATTCAAGTTTCGTGCAGTTCAACTTTGCCGTTTCGCGCGCAGTCGCACAACCTGCTGGCGGAGGCGAAGAAGCTCTTCACCTCGATGGTGCAGCAGCAAGTGGCGGACTCAGTTCATTTTTCAATTTTAATAAAAGGCCTCTCTCGCTACAAGTCCAGAGGCGTGGATGTGGCTCTGGAGGCGTACGCGGCGGTGCAGCAGGCGGCCTCCGCGGCGGGGCAGCAGCAGCGCCAGCAGCAGCAGCGGCAGCGCCAGCAGCAGCAGCAGCAGCAGCAGCGGCAAGCTGTCCTCAACACAATATCTCTCAATGCCCTTTTGCATCTCTGCGTCGTCAACGGCCGAACAGACGACGCGCTGCGCCTCTTCCGGGATATGCATGCGCAGGGTTCAGTCTTCCCTGATTTGGTGAGAATTACTTTCTTATCCATTTATTTTATTTTATTTTATTTTATTTTATTTTATTTTACTTTATTTCGTTTTTTATTCTGTTTTGTTGCATTACATTTCGCGGGCCGGGCGTCCGAGCGATCCTGCGAACCTGCTGCTGCTGCTGCTGCTGCTGCTGCTGCTGCAGATATCTTTCAGCACGGTGATCAAGGGGCTTTGCTGCTGCCCTGGAGACGAGCCGCTGAAGGAGGCTTTGTCGCTGCTGCAGCAAATGCAGCAGCAGTACCAAATAAAGCCCGACGCAATTGTCTTCAACACTTTAATTCAGGGAGCAGCAACGCGGCGCAACGTGCCGCTCGTGGAGCTGCTGCTGCAGCAAATGACTGCAGCAAATGTGCAGCCCAGCAGCTACACCCTTTGCCAGTGCGTGAAGCTTTACGGTGAGCCTTTGCTGCTGCTGCTGCGAGTTGCTGCGCAGCTTCTCCCAGCAGCAAATAGCCTGCTGCTGGCTGTATCTGACGCAATTACATTAGATAGTAAATTTAAAATGTGAAATGAATGAAAGATGCTGCATGCACTTCATGTCTGTTGCTGCTGCTGCTGCTGTGCTGCTGCTGCTGTTGTGCTGCTGCTGCTGCTGTTGTGCTGCTGCTGCTGCTGCTGCTGCTGCTGCAGGCCGCTGCAACAATCTGCAGAAGGCGCTGGAGCTGGCTCAGGCGCTGCCGGCGCGTTTTGGCTTCGCCATAGACAGCCATGCATACACTGCATTGGTTGCTGCATGCATTTCAAATGGTGCTGCTGCTCTTGCTGCTGAGCTGCTGCTCAAAGCAGCAGCACAGGGGGTGCTGCTGCCGCAGGGCGTTGTTAACAGGGTCTGGAACGCCGTCAACAGTCAGCAAGCAGCAGCAACAGCAGCAGCAGCGGCAACAGCAGCAGCAACAACAGCAACAGCAGCAGCAGCAGCAGCAACAGAGTAGCACAGACACTCCCCAATTGAGCCGCAGAAGCAAAGCGGCAGGGGGCGAGATACTGGCAGGTGCAAGAGCAACAGCCACTGCTGCTGCTGCAGCAGCAGCAGCAGCAGCAGCAGCAAAAGCTGCTGCACTCCAGAGGGTGACGCTCAAGCAGTTAGGCCAGAAGGCCCTGCAACAATTGCAGCAGCAACAGCTGCAGCAGCAACAGCTGCAGCAGCATCGGCTGCAGCAGCATCCGCTGCAGCAACAACAGCTGCAGCAGCATCCGCTGCAGCAGCCACAGCTGTAGCAGCAACAGCTACAGCAGCATCCGCTGCACCAGCAACAGCTGCTGCAACAGCGGCTGCAGCAGCTACGGTTGGAGTAGCAACAGTTGCAGTAGCAACAGCTGCAGTAACAGCAGCAGCAACAGCTACAGCAGTATCACTAGCAGCTGTTGCAGCAGCAACAGCTGCAGCAGCAACAGCTGCAGCAGCAAGTGTTGCTGCTGTTATGTGTGTTTGCCATCTCCTGAGAACGCATAGCCCTCAGCGTGTCGCCATTAGTGTGAAGGAAGCTGGGCACAAAGCAGCAGCAGCAGCAGCAGCAGCAGCAGCAGCAGCAGGTGCAGAAGCAGCAGCAGCAGAAGCGGCCGCAGCAGCAGAAGCGGATTGGTAGGATAGCTCAGCAGGAACACTGAAAGACATGCATGAAGAGAGCAGCAGCGTGGGGGTGGCGCTGCTGCACTGCAGCAGCAGCAGCAGAAGGGGCAGCAGCAGCAGCAGCAGCAGCAGCAGCCGCAGCAGGAGAGCGGCTGCGGGTATTTTTACGGCGCCGTCCGAAGCAGTTAAGGTGTATGCATGCCCGTTTACTGAATATGTGAATTGTTCTGAAATAAATAATTTATTTTTATTAGATTTATTATTTAGTAAATACATTTTAGTCAATGAACCGAAGAAGAAGCTTTGCTGCTTGCAGCATCTGGAAGCAGCAAAGAGAGGCAACTAAAGGGCCGCGAGCCTTGTTTCCAGCAGCAGCAGCTGCAGCAGCAGCAGCAGCAGCAGCAAGCAGCAGCCTCAACAAGCAGGGGCAGCTGCAGCAAGCAGCAGCGGCAGCGAGCAGCAGCAGCTGCAGCAAGCAGCAGCAGCTGCAGCAAGCAGCAGCAGCCGCAGCAAGCAGGAGCAGCCGCAGCAAGCATCGGCTGCAGCAAGCATCAACTGCAGCAAGCAGCAGCTGCAACAGCAGCAGCATCAGCTGCAACGGCAGCAGCATCAGCAGCAGCATCAGCTGCAACAGCAGCAGCATCAGCTGCAACAGCAGCAGCATCAGCTGCAGCAGCAGCAGCAGCAGCAGCAGCTGCTGCCGGTAGGGGTCTGTGTAAACGTGCAGTGCTGCAGAGTGATGTTCTTCTTTAGGTCAGTAGAAGCAATTAATGTATTTATGTGATGTTGGCTGAAAGTGAATAATTGATTAAATGGATTTAATTATTTATTCTAATTGAGTTAAATGACTTTAATAAATGCATTGTTTCTTCAGTTGTTGTCTCTGATTGTGTTGCTTTAATTGTGTTTTGTTTGCTGCCAGCGGCAGCGCCCACTGCAGCAGCAGCAGCGGGAACGAACGGCTGCTGCTGCTGCTGCTGCTGCTGCTGCTGAGGCCCCGCCGCTGCTGCTGCTTTAGTTCTTTCTTGTTTAGAACAGCAACTTCAAACCAAATGCAGATGCAGCTTGTTGACGAGAAGAGCGATGCCAAATATCCATTTGCTGCAGCTCCAATTAAATCCAAGTCCAGTTCAAGTTTGCAGCAGCAATTAGTGCAGCAGCAATTAGTGCAGCAGCAATTAGTGCAGCAGCAATTAGTGCAGCAGCAAGCAATTAGTGCAGCAGCAGTTAGTGCAGCAGCATCAAGTTTGTAGCAGCAATTAGTGCCGCAGCACAAATGGTATCTAACTCTATATAGTTTGCAGCAGCAATTCGTGCAGCAGCGTAGATGACCGAGTTCAAGTTTGCAGCAGCAATTAGCGCAGCAGCAGCAGCAATTAGCGCAGCAGCAGAGGTGGTCGGATTCGAATTTGCAGCAGCAATTAGTGCAGCGTTGGAAATGCCAGAAATGATAAAGTGAGAGATAAAAGGAGGAAGCAGATATCCGCTTCGCAGCGTCCCTCCCGCTGCCAGCTGTATGTACACCTCAGCCTTGCGGCTGCGAGGCCCGCCAGCAGTCGAAGACGAGCTTGGGCTGGTGCCAGTAAATACAAAGTTGACAAAATAACTGAAATGGCGACTGTAGCCAAAGGCCGCGCGCGCAGCCGGCAGTCGCAGCACTTGCGGTGTACGTACACCCGACGGCTCAAAAAATCTGAACAATTTTGCGCAGATGCGCCGCCCGAAGCGGCGTGACTCTGTGGAGCCCGAGCGGAGAGTTTAAATATTTGGAGTTATTATTTATGCTTAATTATGAATTTCTATCCCTAATAAGCTCCGGAGTTGTTGAGTTCCATTGTGCGCGTTGCGCGTGGGCTTCGGATCTGCATTTCGCGTTCCGGGGGCGGTGTCGCGGCTTGGCGGCGAACCCGCGTGAAACTTGGCGCTTTTTGGATTTTTTTTCTTCCGGAGGGAACAATTTGCAAAACTGCGCGGCAAACTTGTCGGAAAGCTGCGGAAAGCTGCGGAAAGCGGGCGCTTTCCGGCGCTTTCCGGCGGTGTCAGTCGTCGTCGTCGACTGCGAACTCCTCCTCGGGCGGCGCCTCGGGGGCCTCCGCGGGCGCCGTGGGGTCTTCCAAAGGCGCAACTCCGATTTTCTCGTTGAGAGCCAGCAGCCGCTTGCGGATATCCTTGACGAGATTCGCAAAAGCGCCCACGTGGCTGCTGCCGAAGATCTGCTGCAGCCCGCGGGTGATGTGCGGGTGCGGCGCCTCGTACATGGCGGGGGTGCCCGAGTCGTCGAAGAGGCCCAGGAAGCGCCGCTGACTCCGGTGGGCTCTGTTGGCGAAGACCTTTTTGCACCTCTCCGCGAAGTTCGCCGCGTACTCCGCGTTGATGGCCTTCTTCACCACCACGTACAGCATCGGCTCGCCCTCGCAGGGGTCTTTGGGCCCCAAGTCGATCTTGGGCAGTTCCTTCACTGGCGTTTCTTCTTTCTTGGGTTGAAACCACTCCATCAGCGCCGCCAGCCTTCGCCCCCGCGGCAGCCCCTCTTCAGAGACCAGCATGTCTTCCAAGTTCAAGTCTTCCGACTCCGAGGCTGCTGCTGCTGCTGCTGCTGCTGCTGCTGCTGCTGGGCCAGCAGCAGCAGCAGAGGCTTCGGAGGAGGAGCCCGACGAGCTCGAGTCCGAATCCTCGAATATCACCGAGTCGTCGTCCTCCTCCTCTGCTGCTGCTGCTGCTGCTGCTGCTGCTGCGCCGCCGCCAGGTGTACGTACACCTGACGACGAGGAGGAGGAAGACTCCGAGGACACTGTCGACGCTTCGGAAGACCCGCTTTCCTCTTCTCCCTCCTCCTGCTGCTGCTCCTGCTGCTGCTGCTGCTGCTGCTGCTGCTGCTGCAGTTCTTTTTCTTCCGTTTCCATTTCTGTTGAATCGGCAGCGGCGTCTTGCGCAGCGTTGGCTTCTCGAGGCGCTGCCTTGGCTTTTTCTGCTGCTGCTGCTGCTTCCTCGGTTCCCGCTGCTGCTGCTGCTTCCTCGGTTCCCGCTGCTGCTGCTGCTTCCTCGGTTCCCGCTGCTGCTGCTGCTTTATCGGTTCCCGCTGCAGCAGCTGCCTCGGTTCCCGCTGCTGCTGCTGCCTCGGTTCCCGGTGCTGCTGCAGCTGGCTGCTGCTCTGCAGCGCCTGCGTCTCCCGCTGCTGCTGCTGCTGCTGCTTCTGGGTCGATCTGCTGCAGGTCCTTGATGGCCTGCTGCTTGAGCTCGCGGACGTGCTGGAGTTTGTCTTGGAGCTGCTGCTGCTGCTCGGCGAGCTTCTGCTGCTGCTCCTGCGGCAGCTGCAGCAGCGCCTCCAGCTTGCTGCCCAGAAACCACTCCTGCTCCTCGGCCCAGGCGAGCTGCCTGCGGGGGTCTTCTTCGCGGAGTCTTCTGTCTTCTTCAATAACAAGTTCGGGATCGATGGAGAACTCCTCCGCGAGTTGCTGCACATCAGCTCCTCTGATGATCATTCTGCGAAGCCAGTTTTCGTCTAAGTCGTTGAGTTCCTTACGAACGGCCTCGTCTGCTGCTTCGACTTCGGCCTGCAGCAGCAGCAGCGCCTCCTCGGCCTCCGCGAAGCTGCTGCTGATCGCGGGGTCCTGCAGCGCCTCGGGGGGGAGGGTTTGTTTGCTGTCGACGAGCAGCGCGAGCTGCCGCAGCTTGTCGTTGAGCTGCTGCAGCTGCTGCTGCTGCTGCGTCGCTGCTGCTGCGCCGTGCAGCTCGTCCGCCAGGTCCTGCAGCTGCTCCTCCAGGTCCAGCGTTTGCAAGTCGATGTTGGCCACGGCGTCGCTCAAGTCCTTCGTGCGCCGCTGCACCTTCGGCAAACTCGTGAGCGATGCTCTGTAAGCCGCTAATTGCTGCAAAGTCTGTTCAAGTTCGTGTTTTTGAGTCCGCTTTTCCCAGACTTCCGAGGGCCGCCGGTCCGCGGCCCAGCGCTTGCGGGTCTGCAGCTGCTGCAGCCGCTCCACCTCCGCCTTCAGCTTCTCCTGCTGCCTCCGCAGCATTTCCGTTTCGGACTTCAACTTTTCTCTTTCTCCCGAAGACAGACTCTCGATGCTGCTCAGCACCCGCTCGTGTTCCGCCAGCAGCCGCCGCCGCCGCTCCAGCCGCGCCTCCACCGACTGATCCAGCGCTTTCACCGGAGCTTCTTCGAAACTTTCTTTCGCCTCAGTTTTCTTTTCCTCTTTTGCTTCTTTTTTCCCACTTTCGGGCCCGGAAGCCCCCGCTTCCCCGCCCGCCGGCCGCGCGAGCCCGCTCGCCGCAGCAGCAGCAGCAGCAGCAGCAGCCTGCTGCTGGCCCGCAGCAGCAGCGGCTTCCTGCTGCCGCTGGACCTGCTCGAACTCAGCTATGTCGCGGCGCAGCACGCGGGACTTGAGGACGAGGTCCTTGACTTGCTCCGCGTCCGCAGGCGTCGGGTGGGCGTTCTGGTCGACGAACTTTTTGTTCAAGTCCCGCCGCTGGCGCAGCACTTCGGCGAGTTTCTTCTCCAACTTGAGCAGCCCCTCGGCCTGGCTGGCGTCCCGGGGCGGCAGCTGGCGGCGGAGAGCCCGCAGCTGCTCGTAGCGCTCCCACAAGTACTTGTGGTGAGAAGCAATGATGTACATGAGTTCGAGAATCCTCTCCGTCTGTTCGTACATGCCTTCGCTCAACTCCGACTCGCGAAGGACTTCGCCCTGGGCCTCCAGCGCCGCGGCCTTCTGCGCAGTCATGGTCTCGTACATGGCTTTCTTGGCCTTGAGCTGCTGGTAGTCTGCATGCATGTCAGTGAGTTCTTTCTCGTAAAGTCGCAGCCGCTCGGCCAGCACCGGAGTCCGGCTTTGGAAGGCGATTTCGCTGGCCACGCGTTCGCGGTTTTCCTCCTCGAAGGCCTCGTGGTCCAAGTTCAACTCTTTCAACTTCAAGTCCGCTTCCTCCCAGAAGTCCGGGAACTTGGCGGCTCTGGCCTCCCTGTTGCTGCGCTTGTGCAGCCGCCGGCCCACAGGCTTTCCAGTTTGGCCATTAATGAAGTCCACCACGAGAAAATCCCGGGAAAGCTGCAAAGAGGCGAAGCCCGGAGAGCCCAAGACCCGCTCCTTGACGCTGAGGCGCCAGCTGCTGCCCGCCGGCGCGTAGAACTTGTAAGCCAATGCCTGATCTTTCTCTGAAGGCTTGCAGCCCCCCGGGTCCAACTTGTAGAAAATTCGCTTTCCAGCCCAACACAGCAGCGGGAAGAGCCGCCCGCGGGCGCGGCCGAGCCAGCCGCGGCCCGCGGCGCCCCCCATGAGCCGCGCGGCGCTGCCGCTGGTCACCAGCGCCAGAGTGCTGTTTTTCTCCAAGTCCGAGAGCGATATATACTCCAGTAAGTGGTCATGAGCCGACAAATAAGCGTCTACTTGGTAGTTTGTCAACAAGTCCATCAGCCGCTGCTCGGGGCCCCGCGGACGGCCGTTTTTCACCAAGTCCTCGATGTAAGCCATGCGAGCCTCCTCGGCCTCAGCCCCCGTCGATGTCAGTGGGTGGTGGCCCTGCACAATTATCCAATCGGCCTTCGCCTTCGCGGAGTGGAAGAGCGCGTTGCTCAGCGCTATCATGTTGCTCTGGTACCGACTCAGGTTGTCCACTGACACGCACAAACACAGAGAGAGAAGCTGTCTTTTTGCTGCTGCTGCTGCTGCTGCTGTTATTATTGCTGCTGCTGCTGTTATTGTTGCTGCTGCTGCTGTTGGCATTTGTGTTTGGGGCGGTGGTGCTGGTGGGGTTGTTGTTGGGGGAATGATTTGAGGAAGGACACTCTCAGAAGAGTGGCAACAAAGCAAAGGCAAACTTGAGAGAGAAACTTGCAGCAAACTTGCAGCAAATTTGCACCAGGAAACTTGCAGGGAATTTGCAGGAAAGTTGCAGGGAATTCGGATGAAACTTGCACGGAATTTGCATGAAACTTGCAGGAAACTTGCATGGAATTTGGATGAAACTTGCATGAAACTTGCATGAAAGTTGCACGAAAGTTGCATGAAACTTGCATGAAAGTTGCATGAAAGTTACTTGAAACTTGCATGGAAGTAATATGAAACTTGCATGACGAAACTTGCATGGAATCTGCAGGAAACTTGCATGGAATTTGCATGAAACTTGCATGAAACTTGCATGAAAGATTACATGAAACTTGCATGAAACTTGCATGAAAGAGTTACATGAAACTTGCAAGAAACTTGCAAGAAACTTGCAAGAAACTTGCAAGAAACTTGCACGGAATTTGCGGCAAATCAGCAGCAAATCGAAAGCAAATTAGCAAAGCAGATCAGCAACTTAGTCACCAGCAGATCCGCAGCAAATCAGCAGCAAATTAGCAGCAAATCAGCAGCAAATCAGCAGCAAATCAGAAGCAAATTGGCAGCAAATCAGCAGCAAATCGACAGCAGATTAGCAGCAAATTGACAGCAAATGGCAGCAAATTAGCAGCAAATCAGCAGCAAACAAGCAGCAGTTAGCAGCAAATCATCATCAAATCAACAGCAAATCAACAGCAAATCAACAGCAAATTAGAAAAGCAAATCGGCAAAGCAAATCGGCAAATTAAATCAGCAGCGAATCAGCAGCAAATCAGCAGCAGCTCAGCAGCAAAACGGCAGCAACTTAGCAGCAACTTGACAGCAAATCATCAGAGAAAATCAGCAAATTAGACCATCATCAAATCACAATCAAATTAGCAGCAAATTAGCAGCAAATCAGCAGCAAATCAGCAGCAAATCAGCAGCAGCATAGCAGCAACATAGCAGCAACATAGCAGCAACATAGCAGCAACATAGCAGCAACTTAGCAGCAACTTAGCAGCAACTTAGCAGCAACTTAGCAGCAACTTAGCAGCAACATAGCAGCAACATAGCAGCAAATCAGCAGCAACATAGCAGCAACATAGAAGCAACTTAGCAGCAACTTAGCAGCAACTTAGCGGCAACTCAGCAGCAACTCAGCAGCAACTTAGCAGCAACATGACAGCAACATAGCAGCAACTCAGCAGCAACTCAGCAGCAACTTAGCAGCAACTTAGCAGTAAATTAGCAAAACAAATCGGCAAATTAAATCAGCAGCAAAAGAGTAGCAAATCAGCAGCAACTCAGCAGCAAATCAGCGGCAAAATAACAGCAAATCAGCAGCAACTCAGCAGCAACTCAGCAGCAACTCAGCAGCAACTTAGCAGCAACTTAGCAGCAACTCAGCAGCAACTTAAACAGCAAATAATAAGAGCGAATCAGCAAACTGAATTATCACCAAAGCACCAGCAAATCTGCAGCAGACTGAACGCGAATCAGCAGCAAATCCGCAAATTAAATCCGCAGCAAATCCGCAGCAAATCAGCAGCGAATGAGCAGCAAATGAGCAGCAAATGAGCAGCAAATGAGCAGCAAATGAGCAGCAAATCAGCAGCAAATGAGCAGCAAATGAGCAGCAAATGAGCAGCAAATCGGCAGCAACTTAGCAGCAAATCAGCAAATCAAATGAAGGCCAAACCATCGCCATATCGCACCAAACCCGCACCAAATAATGCCCCAAACATGCCCCAAACATGCCACAAACATACCATAACAGGACACAAACATGCCATAACATGCCACAAACATGCCATAACATGCCACAAACATGCCATAACATGCCACAAACATGCCACAAACATACCATAACAGGACACAAACATGCCACAAACATGCCATAACATGCCATAACATGCCAAAAGATGCCAAAACATGCCATAAACATGCCAAAACATGCCATAAACATGCCACAAGATGCCATAAACATGCCAAAACATGCCACAAAATGCCAAAACATGCCAAAACATGCCACGAAAAGCCCCAAAATCCCTTAAAATGCCTTAAAACGTCTTAAAATGTCTAAAAATGTCTAAAACTGTCTAAAACTGTCTAAAAATGCCCAAAACTGTCTAAAATGCCTCGAATGTTTTTCGAAGACTGACGGAAAGGAGTGCCTCCGAAGAGCGTCCAGGTGTCGACGGAAATGAGGTGGACGGAGAACTCCAAGTCCTGCGGCGCTCCCGCTGCAGTGGTCAAATTTGCTGCGAAAGTCCAAACGGCTTTGTGCAGCCACCGCGGGTTGTGGAAGTTCGCGTCTTGGCGGCTGTAGTGAAATCTGTAAAGAGCTGAACTGTTGAGGGCCCCCTCAGCTTCTCCATTCACCATGTACCACGGGATGTCCAGACCCGCGTCCTGCAGCAGCAGCAGCAGCAGCAGCAGCAGCAGCAGCAGCAGCAGCGGGGGATTGGGGGGATGCTGCGGCGAAGCAGCAGCAGCAGCAGCAGCAGCAGCAGCAGCAGCACAAGAGACGCGGCACAACAGCAACAGCAGCAGCAGCAACAGCAGCAACAGCAGCAGCAGCAGCAGCAGCAACAGCAGCATAACAACAGCAGCAGCAGCAGCAGCAGCGCGGAATTGGGGTGCTGCTGCTGCTGCAGCTGCGGCGCAGCCGCAGCAGCAGCAGCACACGAGCCGCGGCACAACAGCAACAGCAACAGCAACAACAACAGCAGCAGCAACAGCAGCATAACAGCAGCAGCAGCAGCAGCAGCAGGGAATTGTGGCGCTGCTGCTGCTGCTGCTGCGGCTGCGCCGCAGCAGCAGCAGCAGCAAACTAGCCGCACCACAACAACACCAACAGCAACAACAGCAGCATAACAGCAGCACAACAATAACAGCAGCAGCAGCATAACAGCAGCATAACAGCAGCATAACAGCAGCAGCAGAACAGCAGCACGGACTTTGACGAAGATATCCCTCCAGCGGGTCCTAAAGGCCTCATCTCTGACGGAGAAAACCCCCGGAGGTTTGAAGAAGTCTCCAAGTCCGAGAGCAACATCGAAGTTGTGTTTTTGATGAAAATCCCGCAGAGTCCGCACAGTGTCTTCGAACTCGTTGAGCCTGAGGGCCCTCCTGAGGGCCCCCCAGGGGCCCCGGGGGCCCCCGGGGCCCCCGGGGCCCCCGTAGGGGGCCCCCCCAGTATTGCCCACCGCCAGTACCCTCAGGAAGTTTGCAGAAGTCTTGTGGAATTGCAATTCGGAGAAACTTTCGCTGGAAGTCTCTTTTGGAACTTCTTCTCCTTTTTCGGACTTGTGCTGCTGCTGCTTGTCCAGCGGATGGTCCGCCCTTTGGGCCCAAACGGACTCCGCAAAGCAAAGAAGAGTGGGGCATTTGGGGGCCCTTTCGCGGGGGGTCTTTTTGCTGCTGAGGGTCTGCAGCAGCTGGGGGCCCCCGGGGGCCCCGGGGGCCCCCGGGATGGCGGGGGGCCCCACCTTGCCCTCCTTGTAGGCCTCCCAGTTGCGAATGAACTCCTCAAGAACATCCAATTGGAAGAAAGTCTCTTCTAAAAGACTCGTGGAGAAAAGCAGGTCCAGGAAGTTGGTCTTGAGGAGGAAGTCGCGGGGTGTACGTACACCGCGGAGCTGCAGCTGCTGCTGCAGGTGCGCCACTGCTGCTGTCGGCTGCTGCTGCTGCAGTCCCCTGGCCACCCGCAGCACATTAAAAGGGAGACTTCTGAGAAATCCCAAGTCCTTGTCAGTGAGCTTTTCAGGAACTTCAAAAAAGCCCCTTTTGTGAAAAGTATTTCCGTCAAAGTACCACTCCGTTTCCCGCTGCTGCTGCCCCAGCAGCCAGCCAAACTCTGCTGCAGCAAGCTCCAGAGGCTTCTCTCTGTCGGGGTCTTCTTCGAAGTCTTGCTGCTCCTGCTGCTGCCGCCGCAGCAGCTGCTGCAGCACGCGTGCATGCGCTCGCTGCAGCGCCGCATGCAGCCCCACCCACTGCAGCAGCAGCACTTCTTTCTCCCAGTTCGAACTCCGCAGAAAAGCCACTAATAAGTCCTCCATGCTGCAGTCCACTGCTGCTGTTGCTGCTGCAGTGTGGGGCCCCGCAGCAACCACTGCGGTGTACAGATACTGCTGCGCAAAGTCGCAGCCCGCGGCCATTGGCCGCCCGCGGCTGCGCTCCGCCAGCAGCGCTTCGGGTGTACGTACAACGAACAGCTTCCGCAGGGCCCAGCTCACCAGCAGCCGCCGCGGGGGGGCCCCCGGGGGGCCCCCGGGGGGCCCCCGGGGGGCCCCCGGGGGGCCG